GCCAGTGTGTCTGATACTTGCTACCAGTTTGAGCACTGAACCATGTGAATGTGTTAATATTATTTTTAGGACCAGTCTGGAATCCTTGCTTGAGTATTTTTGTGGGAGTCACCCTGAAACTGGCAGGGTTAATATTCCTTGGGGGAGGTAAACCAGCAGTGGGGTAGCTCTGTATCATGTTCTTTTGTGCATTTCAAAGTATCTGTGGCATGTGTCCTGTTCTCTCATTATTTACTCTTCTGCTGTCAGGAGTTATCCAGGATAAATTGACTGCATATGTGCAGGCCCTTAGCAGCTGTTTAGGGTAGAAAGAAAATAGCTCTTAGGCAGTCTGAAATTAGCCACTCATTCTTCAAGCTGTATGTAGCTGTGGTCCCAAAGGTGATTTTTTTCTCTTCAGATTCAGGCAGCATTGCTTTAATCAATGTTCTTCTGTAGAAGATAGCCAGTGGATTAATTGTAAAATGTATCTTCCCCCCCCTCTGCCCACCCCCCTTTAAATGGGGAGATTTTTCCAATGCCAACATGTCAATTAGAATGCAGCTGTGGAGTAGTATTTCTCTTACTGCTTATTTGGAAAGATCTTATCCCTTATCCTCTCACATGTTATTTTAAGGTAGCAAATAATAAATACTAACCTAAAAAATGAGGCAAAGAGTTTGTTAGAGAATGCATTGCCAGTGAGCTTTAATATACTATGATTGGTAGTTTGCATGTGGAGAATGGAAGTCTGTGGAGCGTGCATCACAATTTGTCTGGAATGAAGAAAAGAAAATAATAAAAGTAACATAAATTTAGATGATGTTTTAAGTGGATTTATTCTAAAGTTCAGAGTTCTGATGTTAAGGGAATGGAAAGCTGAGGCAACAAAACCCCACTGTATTTTAGAAAGTTTATAATTTTGAAATTCTAAGGTGTTCTTCCTCATTTTGCTTCCTCAGAAAAAGAGGGAGGAGCAGCAGCGACACAGGACTGAATCTCAAGTGGGTTTAATGTATGGACAGAGTCTTTGTATGCTGTGAACGGCTGTGTCACAAAGTACTGTATTTGTCTGTTGATAGTTGCACAAAACCTTAACCTCCTGCTGCAGTATTAGGCGGTACT